GTGTTATGAGTTGTTTATTGCTTTTTTTTTTTAACTGCACAGTATTTAAGTGATTGTATAAAGGAAAAGGAAAATGTAATAAATATATTCAACTCTGAAAAGAGATATCTTATGTACGGTATATTCTCAAATGTGGATATAAAGAATCATGTAATAACGTAGCATTCTGGTCACTTCTTTTGTTCACATTGTCATAGAATGACTTCCTTATAGAGGTTTAACAATATAACAAAAGTCTTATATCAGAAGGTCATGGTAACATAGGCTGTGAATGATCTAAAGCAGCCTATTTATATAACTGACAAAACCCAATCAAAATTTCTAGACTTTGCATTGCTCGTGTGATGACTGACTCCCAACTGTCTTGAAGAAAAAGGCATTTTCCTGTTCCCTATGATTTAAACATTGATGCCATAGCAACAAAAGAATCATTAATGTGAGAAATTCTAACACTTCAAATGGGGGCAATTCTTATCTAAAAACTATTAAACTTTTTGTCATAATCTTTAAGTGGTTGAAATGATGCACCATAGGGCAACAATTTTTCAACCAAGATACCTGAAATGGACTAATTAAAAGATGTGTCCAAAATCTGAAACTCATTCTCCTGAGGCAAAAAATAAAAAAATGGGTAAATTGTGATTGCCACCAGCTGCTGCAAGTCACTGATCTTCATTTTCAATATTATGTGACAATTTCTCAGCCAGTCCTCAATCTGTTTGTTCCTTCCCCACCCAGCAGTTGCCACTTACTTGCCTGCTAGAAAGGGAAGGGAGGGAAGGAGGAAAGAATGGGGAAAGAAGAAAGGAGGAGTGAGGGAGGAAGACAGGAAAGGAAGTCCTGTTCCCATTACATTTTGCTCACTAGTGGTAATTGTTTCTTTGCTTAAGTAAGGAGATATTAAGTATCTCTGAAAAGATGATACAATAATAGGGCATAGGTTTGTCAAGTAGAATATAAACAGAATTCGGAAAACTCTCACTTCCATAGAATTGTGAGTGCAGTTCCCAGGATTTATAGCCAGAATGACTGAGAGGGCCATGCCAGAGTTATTTGCTTTGTATCTCTAAAAACCACAATTCTTTCACTGGAAGAGCACCCAGGCATTGAATGAAAAAGCATTCAAATATTTTTCTTCTGTATGTGAGTAATACATACAAATATGGTCTAATATGTTCAGAAATTTGGCATTTATAGATGCTTTGACACATTATTTCTATAATTTTAGGAGTGCTTCATTCAAAGACCTATTTTAATTAGTTTAACAATTGCTCATCCTAATAATGTCCTTTAATAGATGGTTTAGAAATCTGGGCTTTAAATATGCATTCAAAATTATGTCACGGTTATAGAAGGTAGCTTTCCTACACAAGAGGTTTACATCCTATTTTTATTTGTTGGCCTTACCTGCAGAAGACTTCAAAGAGAAACCATAGCTATTTTTTTCCTTAGTCAGATAACAGAGACGGGGTTGTGGAGCCGAACCCGATTCTCCAGATTGCACAAGTTGGGGTTCTTCTGTCTGTTCTTGGTTTGGTGACTTTTTAGCCAACTCTTCAAGACTGATCCCTTCTTTTAATGCACTTTCATAAGAATGATCATCCAAAACAAGGAATATTACAGGAGTTACACTTTTTCTAATTAACTCAGCCACCTATAATTGATGTAATGAGAGACTAAGAGGTAACTAAAAGAAATAGCATAGAATATGAATTAGAAAAAAAAATCCAAGAGAGGATAGCTAGGTCACAGAGCTGTGTCATACAGTTGTTTCTTACAGACAGGATTAAAAAGTCAGAATAGCTGTTATGACTATGCAATCAAAAACCCACCTCTTTTTGACATGCATACAACTTGGCTTTAATTGCACATCTACCTTACCCTAAAGCCTATGGCAGACATAAAAATAATGAAAAAGCAGAATTTTCATAAAGTTGATTGGTAAAATTGAGAGGGAAAATTATGACTCTGAGAATTAGTTCAAAATAGCAATCACTGTTTTATAATCCTACCAATAGGATTTATTCTCTTGAAATTGTACTTATGTTACGGAAGTTTGAGTAGTGATTTCATATCTGATGTTTTAGAAAATATGAAAGTTGAACTTAGCTGGTTTAGCTAAGATCAGCCATTACAGGTTCCTGCAAATGCTCTCAAATGGGGACTCTCAGGACTTCACTGTATTCTCATCTTTTCTATTGTACAAGGATGACAACACCATGACATTAAATCAGCCACAAGTCTCTTCAAAGTGCTTAGAAGTTGTTTGTCATTTAAGTTCCCCTATCATTACTGACTGGGCAGAAAGGTTAAGGGAAAGGGAAACGGAATTCTTTTGCTCATATGGAGAATGAAAGAAAGAAGAAAATATTTTCTTTGCAGAGGCTTTTTTTTTTAAGCTGGCAGAAGATTCTGGAAGTATTCATCTTTGGAAGAAGAAAATATTTTGAATAAATGCATACAAGGATCAAATTGGTTGTTGAGGTGCATGAAAATATGTGCTTTGCATTAAGGAAAAAAAACCCAAAATGAAATATCTCCCACCTCTCCGTGATCTTCCTTATCTATAAACACTCCATTAATCTTCAGGACTCTATCTCCATCTTTTAGTCCTGCCTTCTCCGCTGGACTATTCTTTTCTACATTTCGGATAAGATGCCCTGTTTTGAATCTCTCAATGCGCAGGCAGAATCCATAGTTTTCACCCTCTTCTTTGACCAGTGTGCATTCTCTGGGATGAAGTGACATCATTTCTGTCAAAAGGAGTATATAAAAAAAACTTCCAGAACATGCATGTGAAGAAAGAAAGTATTAAAGGAAATTGCTCAAATAAAATGAATCAAACGAGCTACTCATAAAAGGGAGTGAGAGGCAGAAAAGAAAGCATTTTGACATGGGACAAATGTACCAAGTACTGCTGATGGGGTCATCTCATATAATGAATTTATCATAACATCTTACAGATATTTTCTTAGAAGGAAATTTTAATGAGTTCAATATAATTTAAACCTAATAATATTTTGCTTGTATTGCAGTACAGAGCCTGTATTTGTCAGCTCTTCAAAGTAGGTCAGCTCAGACTTATTGTAACTATATTGTCACAGGGTACAATACTAGAATTTATTTACACACACACACACACACACACACAGGCAGGGCAATCTTGAATTTCTTTTTCATCTAACATTTTTATAATGGCTGGTACATACCTTCTTCTAAATTATATTTGTACTGTATTGCACAATATTTTACAATATTGGCTGATCTCATGAAGCTAAACTGGGTTGGACGTGATTAATAGTTGAAAGAGAAACAAACTGGAAATGCCAGGACTATAAAACAGATTGGGAAATGGAAAATGGAAAACAATCCAGGGCAGATTCCAATTTAAGTTGGTCACCAGACCAAAGATTTAGCCTTTCAAGTTTTCAAATTTATGCTGGAGCCCATCCTCAGGGAACTTCTCTCTAGCAGAGTCTGGGCTTTGGCTGTTCTGTGTGTGGTGTTTATATGGTGCCTGGTTGTGTGTGGCTTTTTAGTTTTGATTGGGATGTTGATTGAACCCCAATGGCCAGCCATTAGGTCATTGGCTGTTGTTTCCTTGTGCTACCAACAATCCAGGGCAGACCCCAGTGGCAAATAATTGCTGTATTGTTGCAAAGAAAACTATGACACTTGTCCATGAATCAAGCTTGGCTCAAAGGAAACTTTAATATGAAAATATAGATAATCAATTCAGTGCCTCTCTTAATTCTACACTTCGATAAGGAGATGAAAGTAGTTAGATGAAGATAGCATCTTACTAAGTAAGATGAACTACTTAGATATTATGCAGTGAACTGAACTGAGAAATGCTGAAGTGGAGTCTTTCTCAGGTAGGTTGAAATGATAGTCCTTAGTTTCTAAGTCAACATTTTTCAGTCTTTAGGAAGCATGAAGGCATAATTTATTATACATCCCATTAGTTCTTATATTGTTATTTATGACTTCTAGAGAGCAAGGCATATTATTAACTTTATACCTCAGGATTTATTCAACTTCACCTAAGATAGCCATGTAAGTACCCAAGACCTACAGAAAACTGAGTGGAACATGTTTTTTTTTCCATGTTATTATTTTTCTGAAGTCAAGCCAAAGCCAAAGTGATTCTCTTAAACCTTTTTTGTTTATTTTTAAAGTACAGAGTGAAGTGAAAGATCAAGTACAGCATCTTTCAAGGGCACTAGAAAGCTTAATGTGTTGCTGTTTACACTGTTTTCTTCTAAAACTCTATTGCTAGTAATCATATTGCTAATTTAGTGTTTTGCAATAATATGTACTTTGCTCACTCTTCCTTTGCTCCAGATGCACGATAATCTTGTTGACTTAGTTAATATATTAAGAATTATGGTTAATATGTGGAAGATCTTTCTTAGGTCAAGAGGTGAAGTTAACAAGAATCAGAATATTAGACTATTAAGAATATTTGTTGAACTGTTTTATCAAATGGCCACAAATAAATTGAATTGAATTGACTAGGTGGCATTCAGATTTTCTTCACTATTGTTCTTTCCATTTGAACAGTGAATAAGATAGCTGATGCTTTTAGTCCCCTTAAAAGATTGTTAAAAAAATCGAGTCATTTATAAAAGCCTTGTCCACTCATCTGAGCCTTCTAAAAGATACCTAGACTTCTTGGGAGTATTTTCTACCCTGAAACATTATGCTGAATATTTCATTTCATTTCATTTATTAAATTTATAGGCTGCCCAATCCCGGAGGACTCCGGGTGGCTTACAATGAAAGAAGAAAAAAAGAAAAGCAAAATAAGTAAAAAAAAAATAGTTTAAAATACACAACACACATACAATCTATGTATACAGGTAGGAGTAGAATTTTTTCTAAAGACCTACCCTCTAAATATGTTCACTATTATCTCACTGGTGACTTTTGGACAATCACTATCAGTTTTTTTCTAGCTATGCAACAAGTTTGCTGTTATGATTATAAAATGAGGCAAGATTCATAACTGTGCTTCCTTGAATTTATAAAGGCAGAATAAGAAAGAATGAATATATGACTATGAAATACCTCTGTGCAGGGAGGCATAATCCTATTCTGTACATAGATATACTCAATGGTCTTCCAAATATGAGTATTAGAGGC